GTCCAAGCATCCAAAACACAAATCTAGCTCAAGTGAAACACCCTAAACGGTGAAGTCATTAACTTGATGTCTTTGCATGGCTCAAAGAGGCCCAATATGCATTTCTAACACTCTAACTTCATGTTAAGACCATTAACTCATGCATGGTTGAGCTTAACCCATCAAGATGCCATTTTAATGATTCCACAACTCTAGAAATACTAAGAAATGACCAATACAAGTTATGGAGTAACTTCTACTCACAAGAACCAAACCAAGGGACTAAAACATACTAAATGTAATCCAAAATCTAGATCTAAGCTAAGGAGTCATAAAGTATGAAGCTTTATACCTCCAAAAGATTGCCAAGGTGAAGAGAGTGATGGATCTTCAAGCTCCAAGCAAACTAATCCTCCTCTAATGACCTATTCTTTTTCAAGATGCACACACACACACACAAGGCTCAATTTCTCTAAAAAGGGATTATAGTTTTGAGATAATGCCTTGGGGACAATGGAGGCTGGAAAATGAGAGAAACCTTGGGACATAAGGTGCTTAAATAGGGTCCAAACCCTAACATTTAGGGTTTGCATTATGTGTAATTACACCCACGTAATATATGTACGCCTAAGGTACTGGAGTGAATAATTGCGATCACTTAAGCCCAGTACGCCCAATGTACATACCTTATGCGCCTAACGTACTAGCCAACCCACTTTCCCATTCTAACTTCTAAAGGCCATAACTTCTACGTCCCAACTTCGTTTTAATCGTTCTTTATATGCTTTGGAAGGTAATGAAAAATCCTGCAACCCTATCAAATCTCCTTCAACTTAAAACCATCTGAACATTATTCCTTACTTCGAGAAAATGTTCGAAGCATCACTTTTATCATTATACATTTGGGCTCCAATGCACAAACCGAACTCTTGGATCACATAACCTACATTACCCACATTCAAATGGGTCTAAACCTCTCTTCCAATAAATCCAGAAGCCTTATGATAATTGATGTTTGGGTCACTGCCCCGAATTAAGAAACGACTCAAAACAGGGTGTTAAAATTCTTTTACAAAGTCACTAGTATAATAAGTAGAAACATCCCTTAAATTTTCATGATTTTTGGAGAATTTTTTCTTTTTTTTTTAATAAAAAAATAATATATTTTTTTTCAAAATTTAATGATTATGCTCATTTTGTAGAGAATTAAATTTAAAAACTTTGGTTTTTTTATAAATAAAACTACATGTGTCCGCAAGTAAGGTCCAAGTTTGCCATTTCAGCAACAAATCTTTATTATTATTTTTTTCTTTAAAATTTCATGATTATGCTCATGTTGTAGAGAATTAAATTTAAAAACTTTGGTTTTTTTATAAATAAAATGACATGTGTCCACAAGTAAGCCCCAAGTTTGCCATTTCAGCAACAAATCTTTATTTCCTTTGACAGTTTTGACCCCCAACATTTTCCCTTAATTGGAAAGTGATCTTAACTTGATGTTATTTACAGAAAATACCATTGGACAATTTTTTTTTTTTTTGTTTATTTGTTCATTTTGATTTATCTCACCCACCCATTTAAACCAACAAACGTCTAAGATTTGTCCTCGCGGTCCTCACAATTTTTTGAATCCTCACTCGATCTAACTTTTATAAATATATGCCACCACTAGTCCTTCTCGTCGTTTATATCTCATTGTTTCTCTTTCTCGCCTCCCTACGTCATCGCTAGTCCTCATTTTTTCCGTCTCATTGTCTCTTTTTCTCAACTCATCATAAATATTGAGTTTGTTCATTCGAAAGTTTATCAAATATGAATATTTCATTCATCACAAAATTGTTCACAATGTTAAAGTGATTATTTTTCATTAAATACATTAATTTAGTAACCTTGTTAAACAAATTTTCATTTGAAACCAAATTTATTTAGAGATTTTGAACATCAATTTAGTAACCTTGTTAAACAAATTTTCATTTGAAACCAAACTCATTGAAACATCTCAAAAATACAGTCTAAAATTCTCGTTTTAAATCATTAATAAAAACCATAATTATCAACCATTTCATTTGTAAACAAAAATCGTTATATCAAAATCAGAGTATCATATCAAAATATGATCTTTTTATCAGAGTAAACATCCCAGGATAAAACTTATTGGTGTGTGCCATGCAGTTATCCTGAGCTCCTCCCTCCGCTACCGGAAGTACCTGAAACTAAAACTGAAAACTGTAATCACGAAGTTTAGTGAGTTCCCCAATCTACCACATACCATACACATAATCACATATTGCAAAGATTGGGCCTAGCCTGCTACATCAGACGAACCCGACATCAGGCCCTGCCTGACATCGTGCCCCACTCGATATATTGATCTATTTCTACTAGGCCCCCGCCAGTCTCCAGGCCCCGCCCGCTATACACATAAAAACAATAACATATAATCATGCTAATACATAACAAACAATCATTATACTATAACTGCTAGTCTCAAGGCCCCGCCCCTACTCTGCTACTAATAAGATATGGAACCCCGTCCACACTCAACTAGTGATGAAATATGGGCCCCGCCCACACTCGCCCCCTACCAGGTACATACAAGTATCACAAAGACAACAAGTATAACTAAACATACACTACTGCCTCGGGTACCACCCGACATCTAACCGTAATTTGGAAACATACCTATAATCCTTCCTCGGGTCTCGCCCGTCATCGGGATCTAAATCCGGTATACACTAACATACATACATGGGCCGACATTGGCGCCTTAGACCCATTCCTACTGGAAAGAACTCACCTCACAAGCTGACTATAGAATCCTACGGATAACTCCTCGCTGCTAACTGGCAGATCCTCGAACTGCTGATCAGTCGACTCCCCGATTTATTAATTACCAAAATGACACTTAGACCAAAATACCCTCTAAAAGTCAAACTAAGTCAACCCTGGTCAAAGTCAAAGTCAACGGTCAAATTCAACACTCCGAGGTGACTCAACTCGTCGAGTTGCTCCATCAACTTGTTGAGTGCTAAAACTCCGAACACTACAATCGCAAACCAACTCGTCGAGTCAACCCTTGACTCGCCGAGTTCCCTAGTCACTCCGGGTCACGATTTATCAAATCTACTCGTTGAGTTGGTCCTCAGACTTGCCGAGTCCTCGCATGAACATAAACGAGAAAACTCACTTTGACTCATCGAGTCCCTCCCTAGACTCGCCGAGTCCCTCAGTCTGTTGGGCTATCTTAATGGATTAAGCCACTATTCTACAAATCTAAGCTCCAAAATTTGAAGATACACTAGAAATGACCTTGGAAGGGTAAAGTTTCCAACTTTACCCGTTAATATCCTCACTTAGTGGGTTTCCATGAAAACCCTAACTCTAGAGGACTTGGATCTTGGTCCACAAGCCACCCAACCCCAAACCAATGCATCCAAACACAGATCTGGATCCAATCACCTCATAACCATGCAAAGCTCCTACCTTTTTCCTCCACACATGGCCTTGTGAGCTAAAAAGGCCAAAAGAATACTTCTTATGCTTGCATGGGGATTCATATGGCATAAAGCTTGCACCTTTATGCCATAACAACCCTTAATGGTTCTAGATCTGAAAGCATAAGCCTTGGGATGTCCATTCCTCACATGCTAGGGTTCTTGGACCAACCCTCCTCCCCCCCCCCCCCCCCCCCCCCCCCCCCCCAACCCAAAGTGACAAAGAAGAGATGTAAGTGCATAATGATCAAGGTTGAAGCTTTCTTACCAGAAAATGGAGAATGATGAAAGAGGTTTCTGGATCTACTAGTCTCTTCTTGTATCCTCAAGGCTTCATCGTCTTCTTCAAGCTCTAAAGCACTCAATAATGACTCACAAGCTCATGGAAGGCACTAGGGTTTCGTTCTGGACTTGAGAGAGCATTAAGGAGGTTGAGGGAGTGTTATAATGTTCTTTAAATAGCGTACAAGGCCCGAACTTAGGGTTTCCCAAACCCTGACCAACTCGCCGAGTTGGTCCCCCGACTCGCCGAGTCGGTCACTTAACTCGTGACTCAAAAACCGCTCCGACTCGCCGAGTTCTTCCATGGACTCGACGAGTTGACTTCATCATTTACGGCTTTTCCTTCTTTTATTGCTCTTCTAGATTCCGGGTGTTACACTCATTTAGAGATTTTGAATTATTCATACATTTGAATAATTCAATATTAAACCATTTGATTTTTATCAAACAACGCATAATTTTTAGAATTGGGGAGGTAATCTTTGTGTTGTATATTTTGTTTCTATGAAATTATGACTACGACTTTGCTCATGACTCATACATAAAAAGATGCATATGTCTAAGTAGTTAATATCAAGAAATATATAATATAAGGTTTATAACAACATACACATATTATTTGCTCACGATATTTATATTACAAGATGATTTTGATTATAATTATATTACAATTACAATATTATTATATAACAGTCAAATCGGATTACATCACCTTCCACTCTTTTCCACTTTGGCACTTTCCATTGCTTTTTGATTAATCGCGTCTTTATTTTATAGGAAGTCATCAATTTCAAAATTTTGAAGTTGTATACTTTTATCAAAATAAGCTTTCGCAAGGTAAACACGTCATCGTAATTATTATTATTTTTTTTTTCAGAATTTTTGAATTTATTTTTTAGAACAAAAAAAATATATACTTTTTTATTATTATTATTATTATTATTATTATTATTATTATTATTATTATTATTATTATTATTATTATTATTATTATTATTATTATTATTATTTATACAATTATGTGTTAATTTAGTAGAGATGAGATGATAATCGGTTATAGTTAAATTAGGTTTCAAGAAGCCAATAAGGGGCCCAGATCGAAATCCGCTGAAGCCGCTTATCCACACAAGTAGTGTCACAATCGGTGGTGATCAGACTCTTGCCGTCGTTGCTGTCTTCTGCTTCTGCTAGCTGTCAAACTCACCTCGCCGGAGCACAAGAACCAGAAAACATACCATCGCCGACATGAAAGGTCTCTTCAAGTCAAAACCTAAGACGCCGGTTGACCTCGTCCGTCAAACTCGGGATCTCCTCATATATGTCGACCACAATCCCGATAGTCGCGAAAGCAAACGCGAAGATAAGGTTTGGGATCACAATTTTACTCAATTAGGTTAACTTTGTTCGATGCAATCTGTTGATATATATATTTTATATTCTACTATAAAAAATGATTTCGTTGGCGTAATTTAGTTGAAATTCGGATGATACGGATGTAATTTCTACCTTTGCTATATATAGGCGGGGTTGTGATTTTATTAATGTTGTTAATTTCGTGTTCTTGCTTGTTAATAATTGATTGCGCTATTAATTTTGGATCTTCATTCGGACAATTTTTATAATGCGATATCGCATTGGGGATATAAAGAAGCAGCTGCGTGTAATCTGAAAATTCTTTTCCGATTCGTGCTTTCTGCGTATCTAGTTTCTATTTTTAGATTGATGGTTTAATTTTCCACAAGTTCACTTACTAAATATGTATGAGTTCTGTTGAATGATTTAATTTTGTTATACATATGGATCAAACTTTCTTAACTGTATAGACTTAAGCTACTTGATCTATAATCTATTTGATCTTTAATAACATGTTTTGAATTTCCAGTTTGCAGCTCTGAGTAAGCTTCTCCGTGAGCTTAAGCAAATTCTGTATGGGAATAGTGAAGCTGAACCTGTTTCTGAAGCTTGTGCTCAATTGACCCAAGAGTTCTTCAAAGAAAATACACTTCGCTTAGTGATTGTTTGTCTCCCAAAGTTAAACTTAGAAGTAAGCATCTTTCTAGCATGCTTCACCAATCACCAATACTCATGGGTTTTGCATTCTACACTTTTCGGATGATTATTACACTTTACATACGCATATGATTTCTTCTGATTCATCTAATTTTAGTTTCAAACTTGAATTCCTTTCATAGGCTCGCAAAGATGCTACTCAGATTGTTGCAAACCTGCAACGTCAACAAGTTCAGTCACGATTGATTGCATGTGATTATTTGGAGGCAAATATTGATCTAATGGATATCTTGGCATCAGGGTAAGCTTTAGAATTACAAAATTGGGTTAATGATTGATTTTGGTATTTCTATGTGGTTGCACTACCTTATTCTAATGTGTCTTTGAGCATAAAATGAATCAAACTTTGCTATTTGTTTTAACTTTTATCAATCTGTATTATCTTTGATGTGTGTAAAATGAATCATGTTCCTGAAAGTTTATTATTTTTTTTCATTTAGTTATGAGAATCCAGATATGGCATTACATTATGGTGCAATGTTGAGAGAATGCATACGTCATCAAAGTGTTGCTAGGTCAGTTTACTTGATATCATTAACAAGATTTCTCCTTCATCCTTCATTTACATATATATAAATATTTTGAGTTTATTTATTTATTTGTTTTAAAGGTATGTATTGGAGTCGGAGCATATGAAGAAGTTCTTTGACTTTATTCAACTTCCAAATTTCGATATCGCAGCTGATGCTGCAGCAACATTCAAGGTTTTAAAAATTCATTATCTTTTTCACACACACACACACAATGACACAATTCATTTGTTGTAAAGATTATATATTTGTACACAATTTGTTTTAAATCATATTAAATGTTGCAGGAACTATTGACACGACACAAATCAACAGTTGCTGAGTTTCTTTCTAAAAACTATGACTGGGTAACATATACTTTTTAAAATACATTTTATAAAAAAAAATTTATGCAATTATGGTTTTTGTTGTCAGTTTTTTGCAGAGTACAACTCTAAGCTTCTTGAGTCTCCAAATTACATCACAAGAAGACAAGCTATCAAGGTGTGATTTCTATTTAAATTTTTAGAGATTGAAAAAAGATTAAATTTTTAATACTTGGTTTTCATTTTTTTTTTTTTTTAATTTTCTTTTCAGCTATTGGGAGACATGTTGCTAGATCGCTCAAATTCTGCTGTAATGACACGATATGCAAGTTCAAGAGACAACTTGAGGATCTTGATGAATCTTCTCAGAGTACGATTCTCTCTCTCTCTCTCTCTCTCTATGATACATTAAAACTCACGAAGCTATATTATTTTAAAAAAAAATGGTTCTGATTTGTGTAGGAGTCGAGCAAGAGCATCCAGATAGAAGCATTTCATGTTTTTAAGGTAACCAAGTTTGAAGGAATCTTAAAATATTATTTAATGATTGGTGAAAATTAAAGAAAATTATTTTTTGTTTGACAGTTATTTGCAGCCAATCAGAATAAGCCAGCTGACATTGTGGGAATACTTGTTGCAAATAGGAGCAAGCTTCTTCGATTGTTTGCTGATTTTAAGCCGGATAAAGGTAAGAAAATTAAATTACAAATTTGGTCCCTATGTTTTTACCCAAAATCACAAGTTTCAAATTTCTTCCAATGACGCAATATAAAATGACTTTTTATTTTGGAGGACTGAAATCGCAATATTGAGTAAAGAACAGGGGCCAAATTTGTAATCTAAAATTGTTTTAGAGTTATTAGAAAAGTAATGAATTGTGAATTTATGATGATGATAAATGTATATAGAGGATGAGCAGTTTGAGGCAGATAAAGCCCAAGTGGTTAGAGAAATTGCTGGGCTTGAACCACGAGACAATTAATTCGGGTATGACGTGGCAATGGCCAGTGAGATATATAATTATATATAAGTTATATTATTTTCACTTTGTTTGATTTTAGCATGTGAAATAAACATGTAATGTTAGTGGTATCAAATATTAATATGCGGATGTAGATATATGAAAAATAATATATATTTTAAAATAAATTGGTGTATTATTAATGAATGTTTTGGCCTGGGATATACATGCGTGCATGCTAGTTAGGAAGTCGGTGTCGTAGTAGATGATGTATCATGTATGTACATTGTATTATTAGTTTTGACTAACATATTTTATACTTCACTTTCTTTGAAAATCCTATTTTAATTTGTGAATGGTGACAAAAATACTTGTGTTTATCTTGAACAAAAATTCTAGTATACTTTTTTGGGTTTCGAGGAAACAAGAAAACATGGAAGCATTTGAATTTGTTTATAAGAAATGATGTATATCTGTATTTTTTTTTTAATTTGCAAAACGTGTAGGAAAAAATAGCGTTTCAAACTGTTTATAAAAAAAAATGAAAAAAAAAATAGTAAGTGAAATTGAGGTCGTGTGTTAAAGTTGATACTTGATAATAATAAAGTGGGGAAACTTAAAAAAAGTGATGTATTGTTTGCAAATAAATGACATCGTCAAAATCAAAGAAAGTGATAAAGTAGTGAGGATGAATAGATGATTACACAATAACATACGACTACAAGATAAGAAACTACGTACATCTAATCGGTGGATAAATGTAATTATAAATTTTATCCATATCAATTGATTTTGGAGATTAGAGATAAAATGATGACATCTTTGATTTTAAGGAGAAATGATGATGTTTGATAATATACAGGTTGTTAGAAAATTATTTCTAATGCCTGTGTTTGGGTCACCTGGTCTTAAATCATAGAGATTGTCATTTAGACTCGATTTTATAGATTTGGATTGCCAAAACCTTAAGAAAATCATGAATGTTCGAAATTTCAGCATCAACAGTTCAACAGTCTCAGTATGGTCAGGAAAGTGTAGTCCTCATGCTATATGGATGACACAACAAACAATATAAATGATTTACATGGCTTAAATTATGGCCTACACGAGCGTGCCAATTTGTACCATGAGAATATATAAGGACTTGAGGGAAATAATGTTACGGCCTTAGGTAAGTTTTGTAGTTTAGGTTTAAGAATTAGTCTAAGGGGTTGAGAGTTGGGATTGCTTTTTGAGCTTTAAAAGTGTTTTTGACAAAAGTACTTATTGATGGTAGAAAAACAAGTTTTTAAAAACTTGTTTGAATCAGATTTTGTGGTGAAAAAAAAACTTTATACTTGTAAAATGATTAAAAGGGCAGAAAGGAAGGATGGAGATTATAAAATGACTAAAAAGGAGTGAGAGAGTTCATTAAGTGCGGCATTGTCATTTTCACTTTCAAAAACCAAAAACACTTATGCAATACCCTTTTTTTTTTAAAAGAATGAGATGTACTCCCTTGTTTCAAATTAATAGTTCATGTTTCCTTTTTGGTTTATCCCAAGATAATTGTCCACCTCTAAAAAATAAATATAATTTTTATCAAAATATCCTTCATTATTAGTAAAACTACAATGAAATTAAATGCAACTACCATAGAATTAAATGCAACAAAATGGTATAATTGTTATTTTATATAATAAAGTTAATGGTAATTAATATTTTCTTAAGTCGTGTGTTTTTTGTCTGCGGACAATAATTTTGGGACGGAGGGAGTATAAAAATTGGAGAACATAGAGGGGCCAAAGCCTAAATTTTATATTTTTTTAGCCTAATATGTGTAAAATTTATATTTTTAATAGGCATTGATTACTTATAAACAGAAAACAGGGGGTGCCTCTTCTGGCCCTATAGAAGCTCATCCTTTGTTAATGAGTTAAGCTGAATCCTCCGATTCCAAAGTCCATATTTGATCATTTTTATTGTCTAAATGGATAAGTTACCAACGTTATCTCTTGAGACTCACCAAGAGGTTTAGATCACAAGTCTTAGGTTCATAAGGCACAACCATGGCATAGGCTTAACCAAGAAGCACTTAATCCCTTAAGTCTCAATCCAAAAGAGCTTATAACACCAAAACCAACTTAAATCTTGTTGCTTTTTAAACATGCATGTCATGGACGCAAATTAGGTCAAAATAGGATTTATGACCAAATCTTATGCATAGCTCAATCAACCAACCAAACTTCAGATCTAAACCATGAATTACTCCAAATGATCCATAGATTCATAAAGTTCCAACCTTTATGATATCTCACCATCCCAACTAACAACATCAAGAAGAAAATAGGACAAATTCAAGACCTAGCAACCTATAATCAAATAGGTGGAGCCTTGAACACTTGCAAGGGTCCAGAATCGAGCTAGGAATGGAGATGTGGACTTTCTTGTTGATCCTTGGCTTACTCCTTCTTGCTTCTTCCTTCAAAATCTCTCAAAAGCACTCAAGAAAAATTCAACAATAGAGGAAAAGGAATTAGGGTTTCTTTTGGGTTAAAAAGGGTGGTGGAGGCTGAGGGTGAGCAAACCCAAGCCTCCTAATTCCTGTAAATTGGGTGCAAACTCTGAAAAAACAGTGGTTACAACGTCAGCGGCATCCACACCTTGGCCTTTCTTGCCACGTTGTGGCGAGTCAAAAGAGACCGCGACCAAAGGATGCCTTGCCACGCCGTAGCGATCCTTCCCTACACCATGGCAACCCCTAAAATCAAAATTTTAAATTAAAATAAAATGTACCTAAAAAATCAGATGTTACAACCCCCCCCCCCCCACCCCACTTGAATCAGACTTCATCCTTAAATTAAGTTACTGCAAATAGCTCCAGGTAGTGCTCCTTGATCTCCCCCTCAGGTTCCCAAGTCCATTCTGAGCCTTTCTGGTGCTGCCATTGCATCTTCACCAGGTTCACCACCTTGTTTATTCAGGTCTTGGTCTTCCCGTCGAGGATCGTAACCGATTTCTTTTTGTAGTTCAGGCGCACATCCACCTGAATGTCCTCCAACAACACCACTACGAAATCATTGACCAAACACTTTCTCCGAAGGTACTCTTGGCAAGTCCTCCGGGAACTCATCTGAATACTCTCGAACAACCAACACATAATCAATCGTCCTCTTTCTCTCCTCCCTGGTGTCCAATACATAAGCCACAAAACCATAACAACCCTGATGTTGGTATCTCCTAGCTCTTGTAACTGAACAGAGAGCTGATACACGTTGAGCACCCTCGCCGTGAATAACTAGTTCTTCCCCACTTGGGTTTCGAACCCGAATTAACTAGTGCCTATAATCAATCAATGCCTCATTAGGGCTCAACCAATCCATCCCCACGATCACCTTGATCTCATGCAGGGGAATAGGAATCAAATCAATCGGATACCGCTCGCTAAATAACTCCAGCATGTAACCCCGATAATCCATCGGTACCCGTTAACGATCTCTACCTCTAATGGATAATCAATATCCACTGGAGTGTCACTGAATCTCTTGTTGAGCGCAAGAGATACAAATGATCGAGTAATGCCATAATCAAACAGAACTACCGTTCACTAGGAACGTCCCAATATAACATCAAATATATAATAGGCATAAACATCAAAGCAATAAATGAAATAGGGAGAAAATACACACCCGTAACCATATATGGCGTTGTGCATGCCTCCTCGGCTAACAACTGGAAAGCTCGATTCCTCACAACTGGCGCATCTCCCTTGCCCTTGCGGCTATCGGTGATCCTCAATGTCGCTGGAGTAGGTGCTACCACCGTCCCCCTTGCCAAACTCAGAAAATGGTCCTTCTTGTGGCCCCTATGACTGCAATGAATGCAAATCAGATCAGACGTCTGGGTGGTGGGGCAATCCCTGCTAAAGTAACTGGTCTTGCCATACTTGTAGCAGTTGGACCCACCCATCCTACAAACTCCATCGTGCACCTTGTTGCACCTGCCACAAAGGTCCCAAACTTTCTGGCCCCTCGATCGTCAATCAACAACCTTGGGCTTCTTTCTCGAGCTCTCCGATACATGTGCTTGAATCAGCTTCCTCTTCCTCACCGTCTCCAAATTAATCTCCCATTCGCGAGCCCGAGCTATCATTTCTTATAACGCCCGTGTTTCTAGGCTAGGCATTAATGATGATTTAATAGTCTAGGTCAACCATTCCGACTCTCTGAATCCCTTGTGACTCTTTCGGTTTCTAGCAAGAGCCACAAAGACAACAATCACATTCAGGAATATTAGTAAGTGTCACAAAGACCACTACTATCCTACAATATAATTATTCGATCCATAAGTATAGTGAGGAGATTTACCTAACAAACGATGATCAACTACTACTGCTCCTACTAACGTGAATATAGATGCTATAACCCAACTATACAGCCATACAAAGTACACCCTTACCTTTACTTCCAAGACTAGGGGTTTGACCAAAATTCAATGAAAGTCAAAGTCAAAGTCAATGGTCAAAGTTGACTCTCCATGTCATGGCCATCCTTGGTCACGTCTTAGCCCTCAAACGATAAAACAGACGCGTTTTCCCGAGTCGCCATGCCATGGCAACATAGGCCACACCGTGGGCACTAGGTTCAAATCGTCTTAATGGGATAAGCCGAATCCTCCAATTCCAAAGGATCCAAAGTCCATGTTTTATCATTTTTACTGTCTAATGGATAAGTTTCCAACTTTATCCCTTGAGACTCACCAAGAGGTCTAGATCTCAACTCTTAGTTTCATAAGGCGCAACAATGGCCTGTACTTAACCAATAAGCACTTAATCCCTTAATCTCAAGCTTATCTGCTCCAGAAGAGCTTATAACACCAAAACCAACTTAAAGGTTGGTTCTTTTTAGACATGCATGTCCAATGCAGGTCTTGTGTAACGCCTGTGTTTCTGGGCTTGCCATTTTTAGCAATGTAATAGTCTAGGTTAACCTTTGTAACCCGTTTTGAAATAATATAAGTGTATTATTTGAGTATTATGTGTTTTGTGCTTAATTGCTTAATTATGTGGTTTGATTAATTAAGAATAAAAATAAGCGTCAAAATTTAAGTGTAAAATAAACTCGATATCTTTAGATAATGTTGTAGTAGTTGAAACAAGGTTTCCGAAGATATAAAGAATGCCGAAATCCGAGTTATAACGAGGAAGTTATGACCTGTCGAAGTTTCGCGACAAAACCGGCAACGCTGAATGACGTAAAAAGTGGAATTTACGTTAGAGTGATATTTAACCTTAGTGATCTAAACGAGAATCGAAGATCTCGTTGTTA